CCCTGGGCAGCCTGTTCCAATGCCCTATCACTCTTTCAGTGAAAAATTCCTTCCTAATGTTCAATCTAAACCTACCCTGTTGGAGCTTGAAGCCATTCCCTCTCGTTCTATTGTGATGAGGTCTCCCCTTAGCCTCCTCTTCCTCATGCTAAACAGCCCCAGCTCCTTCAGCCGCTCTTCATATGATTTGTCTTCTAGGCCCTTCACTAGTTTCGTCGCCCTCCTCTGCACTCGCTCCAGCACCTCGATATCTCTCTTGTATTGAGGTGCCCAAAACTGGACACAATACTCAAGGTGTGGCCTCACCAGTGCCGAGTACAGGGGCATAATCACCTCCCTATGACATGATACGGCCACCTGTGCCTCCAGCTCCTCAGCAGGTAGAAGTTGGGCTGTTGCTTCCCAGTGTCCAAGCTGGAAGCCCTGGTAGTTCCCACTGCCCACTTATAGCACCGTGCAGCTTTCCAGGCTATTGGATGTGGTGGCTGGACAAAGAGCAGCCCCCTCCTACACTAGACCTCAGCTCTGCTCTTCCAGACCAGAGGCATTTTGTGGCACCTCTCTTCCAGTAAAAGGGCAACCTGGAAGGTGGTGCCCTTCTCAGACCACCCTTCCCTGGCAGCCGTGCAGCTAGACAGGAGGATCACTCAGCCTTTGCTTGGCACTCCCTAATTTAGGCATCCAAAGACACACACTACATTTGTTTTGCTGACCACCGTGCAGAACGATGACCTCATGTTTAGTTGTCAATGATGCATTATACGCAGGAAAGAGCCTCTGCCCTAACCCTCCCACAAACATACGTACTGCAAGCCCCATCTACAGCGTATAAACTTCATATTTGGCCATAGTAAAATGTTATCATAACCAACTATCCAAATGATTCTGCATCAGCAATGTATCTCCCTATTGACTACATTCTCAGTCTGTATCCTTTCCAAACTTCACATTAACTATCCCTTGAGCACCGACTAAAATAAATAGGACCACGAATCAAATCACAGTAATATTTTAGTCATAATTCTCTGCTTAACATTTGTCAGTTTGAAACCTGCAGTTAATTTTTGTACAGGTAAATGAAAGGGAAACCAATACAGTGTATATCTTAATCCAAGATGATGAATGGGACATCCTCAAAGATTGAACAGAAAAAAGCATTGCTTCCTTTGCTGAACAAACTGTAATCAAAAAAAAAAGGGGGGGGGGGGGCAGGGAGGTTATTTTTTTCACTTTCTCTTTAGTTTCTCTTCCCTGCCTCGTTTTTGAAGTAGAAAGGTTTTTCGGGGATGGAAGGGGGGACACAGCTGACGGGGATTTGCTGAGGGTGACCTTCTCAGGCCGATCTGACCTCCTCGGTGACCAGCAAAGCTGGGAACTGCTTTATCTTGATTTCCATGACATTTTGACATTCCAAGTGCTGACCAGTTCCCTTGTCTGGGTCACCCCAGGGCCTACCAGCCCCAGGGGTTTGGAAGAGCAGTCACAGGACAAAGGCAGGAACCCATGGCTGAGCAGTTGAGGCTCCTCAAATGAGCATTTGCACCACAAGGAGGAGTTTGCTGATGGTTTACAGCCAAAGAAGCCAAAAAAAAAAAAAAAAAAAAGGGGGGGGGGGGGGAAGGGAATTTTGGCACAATCCTTTTTCCCTCCACCTACATTGAACAGCGTTATATTACTCTCCTAAATTTTTAACTGATTGACTTCCGAGTCAGATGTTTATGGGGTTTTGTACAGTCCCTTTTAAGCTTTTAAATACCTGGGCTACCCAATTCACCTTTCAGATACTGGCACAGCATTTGCTTTTTCACTCCTGTAGAACTGCAGTGCTCAAAAATTATCACCAGTAACTGTTGACAGAGTTTCTTAGACAGCTCTTTTAAAACTCTTGAATGCAAATTGTTCAGACTTGCTGATTTGAAAACCTTCAATTTTAATTAGTGTGTAGATCTTGTCTTCAATAGCTGTTAATCAACATCCCGGAGCTATTATTGGAATGAGATTGTCTATGCTACCAACACTGTGAGATAGTAGCTATTGAATGGTTTAATTGTCCAACAACCTGGCCAATTTTCTGTGTTATGATATTAAGTGACTAGCAAATTGCCTCAATAACCCAAACAGATTTCATTAGCATGGCTTCCTAATACACTTCAAAAATTCACTCTCTCTTATAGCTGAAATTTATCTTTATATCATTTTGTACTGTAATAAATAAAAGTAGCTGTTTTCCATAACCCGGGTCATTTTAACTGACAGACTCTCAGTGAAGCTGGTGCTGTTCAGACACGTGAGTCAGCTGAACCACTGGTAAAGCACCAACTTTCCTGTTGGTGTGCTCCAGTCCTGAATCCTCAGCTCCATGATGTGCTCCAGCTTCCAGACCAGGACGTTCAGAAGAATGATAGAAGCTGAGGAGGAGTGAAGTTATTTTGCAAAAGCAAACATGTAGGACAGAATGAGGGGCAGATACCTCTTCCCCTCCTCCTTGGATTTGTTTTCTTGTGTCATTGATAAACACCAATACTGCATTTTCATTGTCTTCCCATGTCTTCATTCCTCCCTTGAATGGCCAATCCCACCAAACAGGTGACACTAACAATTTGTGAAGCAGCAGCCACTTCAGGATTGCTAGCTACCAACACCAACAGCAAGTAGGATGCTTCAGCTGTGCAGGGCAGAAACCGAGGCAGTTCACTCGTGGCATGGGAAAGCGAACAGCAGCAACTTGCTCTGTCTTGATCCCAGTGGGAAGGAAGAAGAACCAGGACACACCGGGAACGTCTCAGCTATTATGTGTCTGGTGCACAACAGAGCACAAGAGCTATCCAAGGCTCTAGACTTGAGTGCAAGAAATATTTGTATACCTTAACCAAAATGAACTTTTGGACGATCTTCCAGAAGGTGGACAAAAAGGCAGAGAAAAGGAAATCCAGTTCTTCTAGCTACACCTTCAAAAAACACTGAGCTATAGGAGACCACTAAAATACTTCCTACCTCACTAAAACTATACGGCACTGCAATACCATATGTTATCACCAAGTGCACACGATGTACAAGGGCTCTTTTAAAAAGTTGTCTTGCAGTACGGCCCAGAAAGTGGAAAATTTTCACAGAGATGTGCCAGCCTCCAATTTTGTGTTACGGATGACTGTCAGCTGCAGCGAAGTAAAGTTACATGGGTTTGTGGTGATGAAAATTTTACAGCAGCTCTACATTTTTTCAAGTCTCAAAGGTTTAAATGTAAATATTCATGATGTTCACAGAGTATATTTTCCACATCAAATCGATTTTGAATATTTTATCATACAAACCACTAAAATGATTTTGCATGATCTTTCAAAGAATACTTACTCTTTCACAAAAGTGGAAAATTCCAACTACAAGTGTTAGAATATTGAGAAGATGATGAGCATGAAAAACTAAGTGAGCAGATAACTTACTAACTGTTCTGTAACTGCTGTCTCTTAAAATGTAGTTTAGCTGTCCATGAAAAATTTGCTATCTTTTACAAATCCCATCTCTCTTTGGAAATCCCTGCTTACTTGTGTCAGGACATTCCCAACTCAGCTTCAAAGAATTTCAAGATCACTGTGTTAAGATGAAAGCACCACAGAAATCATTCTCTTAGGGTTTAAGAGCCCACTAAAATGGCTCAACACTGTAGCTATGCACAATCTAAGCACATTAACTGAATTTTCCATCACTTGACAATAAATTAAATTTGAACAGAAGACTTATGATGGCAAAAAAACCCTCATCACCATTCTTAAAACTATTTGGTTCTTTCATTTTCTCAATTATTAATTCAACAATTGTGAAATGAGTTAATTTTGAAAAAAGTCTAAATGTCTAAAAGTGAGAAAATGATTGAAATCTCCTTGACTGAATCAAAGGCATCAAAGAGTTAAAATTAAAACCATGACTAATTCCTGATAAATCAAATCTAATGAATAATATCTGCTTAATATATCACATACAGCAGCAGAAAAAATTAGCGTATCAGTGCTAGGGATACCCTGGCAAGGAGAATAGCAAGTAAAATGAAGTGCATTAATTTCTACTAGATGCAGTTATCAACTAATAAAATATTATAGTGATGACTCTACAGTATTGATAAACAGCCTTAGAGACAGTGGGAGCAGTAAGAATAAAATATTTAGACACAGAGCAGCACAATTTACAGAAGAATAGTCTGACTCTTCCCTGCTGATCAGGCAAAGCAGGATATATCTACCTGTAAAGTGAAAAACACATCTTGACAAAGATGGGACCTCCTCTCCAGCCCAAGGTAAGTGCTCGCTCCCACCCGTGCTGGGGAATGCACGTTGCAGCACACAGAGATGCGCGGAGACCTTCCCCCCTTTCCTGCTCTGAGCTGCAAACGTTTAAAGGGGAAACCTTTCTCCAAGAGGCAAGGGAGAGTGAGCCTCAAAGCACAGATTCATGCAGAGAAGACAGCCATTTGATTCAAGCGTGCTCTGCCGATGTTGCCCCCCTCCCCGTACCCCAGTGTTGCTAAGCTATAGTTCTGTGATGTTCAAAGCTATCTGTAGGCACACTAACCCTTTGTTCCGCAGGGCAGCTGAGTTGTTTCTATCGAGAAAGAACAAACTGATCCTAGACAGCCTCGCTGATTTAAAGAAAACATCACTGAGTAAATCTCTCTAAAACAGTTTTTATCTACGGCACAGAGAAAAGCAAAAAGCAAAACCTAATGAGGCTGCAGTTCTTGTGTTGGTGCGGCTACTCCCATCAACTCCAAATGGAAGCTTTAACCACACACTTAAAACAGTCAGACCAACAAGTCCTCAGCATCACTTCCAGAGTATCCTCTGTGAAAACATCTTAACCACTGTGCACGTGTCTGAGAAATGAGGAATATGTATGTGCATGCACTCCAGAGACGACACCCACTTCGTACAGACCTGTCCTTTCAGTGCTGTCCTGCTGTATGCACCAGGTACTGTACCTGCTACCAAACAAATGTGGAAAGATGCTTTGTGAAAATTAAAATCCTTGAAACACAGAGGAAGCTATCTGTTTAACACCATAAGCACTAAACACGATTTTGCCATCTGATATTACAAATACATCTTAAAATTATTAAAAATAAGGTGCCGTTCGTAATAGCAGGATGTGATGTGAATCACCCCCCAAACTGTGTAAACTTCTTAGACTTAAAGGAAAGAGAGAGACGAACAGTTGTTCTACCCTTCTTCCCTTATACAGTTAAATGCAAATTCTCCTTCACAGTCATATTCTTGATATCTCCCTGCATACACAGCTGATACGCCACCTACTGCAAACCCGAGCTGACAGTCGGAGCAATGCTAGCAGCATTTCCATTCCAACATCGTGACGGAGCTGAATAAAGGTGCTTTTTTAAAAAAAAAATCTCTTTGCAAGCTGACAAGAACAAAGCAAGATAGCTGGCTTTTTGTCCTAGCTTCAATAATGGAGAGAAAAATAAACAGAAGAGAAAAGGAATGCGAAGAAAAACAGAGCAACTCCGAAGGCTCTGAGCAAGACAAGGACTATAAAACGTCTCTGATTACTCTGAACGTTGGTGGCTATCTATATATCACACAAAAACAGACACTAACCAAGTATCCAGACTCTTTTCTTGAAGGGATCATAAACGGAAAAATAATGTGCCCGTTCGATGCAGACGGTCATTACTTCATCGACAGAGATGGACTCCTTTTCAGACACATCCTCAACTTCCTACGAAATGGAGAACTTCTTCTACCAGAAGGGTTTCGAGAAAATCAACTTTTGGCACAAGAAGCAGATTTTTTCCAGCTGAAGGTACTCTCGGATGCAGTGAAATCAAGGTGGGAGAAGGAACAGCTAGCATCTCGAGAGACTACTTTCCTGGAAATAACTGACAGCCACGACCGTTCACAAGGACTTAGAATCTTTTGTAATGCTCCTGAATTCATTGCAAAAATAAAATCCAGAATTGTACTGGTGTCCAAAAGCAGGCTGGACGGATTTCCGGAGGAGTTTTCTGTATCTTCAAATATTATTCAATTCAAGTACTTCATAAAGTCTGAAAATGGTACCCGACTGGTGCTGAAGGAGGACAACACCTTTGTCTGCACCCTGGAAACTCTTAAGTTTGAGGCTATAATGATGGCTTTAAAATGTGGATTTAGACTGCTGACCAGTCTGGATTGCTCTAAAGGGTCAATTGTTCACAGTGATGCACTTCATTTTATCAAGTAATCACAGAGGCAAAGGAACTGAGCACGCAGCCAGAAAAGCTCCTTGACCTGCAGCCTCCTGGCATCACAAATACTGTATCGAACCAGCCTCGTACCACGGAGAGCTCGGCTGCTAATCAATTGATGTGAGCTAATGGTATGTAAATCTCATAATGATATCCGTCTCTGACTGACTTAAGCTGAATGAAAATCTGATGCCTGAATTTAATAAAAATGATCTGCTCAACATTGTAAACACAGATCGAATGCTTTGTGCTATTTGTAATACATGTTTTCTCCATGCTGCCTTTCACCCAGAGAGTCTAGCTGGATTTTTGTGTACTTGTATGACTAACGTGCACACACCCAACTGCCCTGCTGAACAGCAGTGAGAGTATTTTCATATAATAAGCAGGCTTAAAATATGTTTTGCTTATAACAAATTCAGAATGGATTTTAACCGGAATAAATGATTTTGAATGTTCATTAGTGTTTATGCTAATCTATTGTACTGAATTTGCAAAAAAAAACCCAAAACCAAGGTTGCAAGAGGGTTTGAAATTAATCAACTTGATTTTGAAGTTAAATGATTTCTTAACTCACTTAAAACCAAATTTACAGCTGTGTTACTACATTAATAACAATTGCCAAAAACATGTAAACCAACAAAATAATGTTGAGGGGGTTAAGTTCTGTTAATGGGAAATAAGTTGAATCTGCACAGAATGTTAAAGTTTCTAATTATATATACATATCAAATGGCTAATAAAAATGTTTGACATAAAGTTTCATGTAACAGGTTTCCAGCAATGATATCCTACCATGCCAAAGTCACTATTTCCAACTAATCATTTGTGCTCATAAGGACAGGCAATTAACAGAGCCCTTGCTTTGCACAATGGCTTACTAAAAGCAACTAGTACTATTAGTTTTGAATAGACCACCTGCTGGCATTTAAAATGCATCACTCTAAGTAATGCAACAAATACCTTCTTTCTCCTCATCTCCACTATTTATCAAATCTTTTCATTTTAAACAAAGTTTTAATGGCTTCTATGGAACAGCTGTAACTAATTTGACCACAAGCATTACTAACCAGTCACTCCGCAGAAGCAGAGTGAAAAATCATCACAAAAGGCAAAAAGAAGCTGCACTAACTCTAAGTTTAAGCTTTGTCCATCACTGAACCCAGCCATCATTCACAGCTCAAACAAACCCAAAATTCAAGTAAAATGCTATTAAAGAAAGAAAAACCAAACAAGTATTTTCTCAACTTTCCTAAAACATCAATGCTGTACAGAAAAAAAATAATACAAAGAATGTCAACAAAATGCAGTACAATTCATATTAAAAGTGACAACTGAGGAAAACAGTTAACCCAAGCCAGGCTGAGAATAGTTCTCTTTCAGATTTTAGTGGGAAGAAATCCACCCTTAAGAGCACTGGAAAGTACTTTTGAGGCATACAAGCTGTAGAACCGTTCATGTATCCCAAACTCTGAGTTCGTCCAAAACATTAACTATCTACAAACAAAAGATACACAGTAAAATACAATTCTTTTTACGCTTCTTTTACACTCCTAGGCAATCCCAGCTAGAACTGCATCACTGTGTCTTATCCTCCTTCCTTTTCCCTCCCCCCAGTTATTGTCAAATATCTTCAAAAAAATCCTCATTAACCACTAATCTTGTACATACAAGAATTTCTAGGACTTCTGTGAAAAGTAAGTTTGAAAGGTCCCCTAAAAGAAAGCCAAAATCCTGCTGATCTTCTAGGACAAGAACTAAAAACACCATCACACAGAACAATGACATGAAAAGCCCTTTGTGTACACAACTCTCTACATGAGCAAGAAAAACTGATGAGAAAAAGAAGCTAGAAAAGCTCCATAACTAATCCACAAGTCTTAAAGAAGCATGCTCTCATTGCTGTCAAATGCACAGCCTGCAGAAGCACAAACTCTGGAGGAGGCTGTTGCTCCTAGGATGTCAAATCACCCATTTTCACTTAAACACTTTTGGTTGTAACCTTCACTTGTAATGAAACTTTGATTGATATTTAAAGTGTCACTGCAATTGAAAAGGAAAAAAGGAAAAATAGCAAAAATCAATTTTGATTTCAAACAATTAATATATAGCTATTAAAAATATATTGTGGTTGCTTGCCTTTCAGTTGGGGTCTTAGGATGCCAAACATCAAGGAATCTTTAGCACTTCAGAAAGCAGTACCAGTTTTTCATCATAGCATGACTTCACTCATGAGAAAGCAGTAGAGAACTTGATGGCTCTGCATTTATTGTAGAAAATACTTTTGGAATATAAACTGTTCACAAGCTGGTAATCATAGGTAAAATTCAAACCATCTGAAATATCTTCTAAGAATATTCTGTTGCTGTTCTTAAAAGATTTACTGGAAAGCTTTCATTTCCCAGGCCTTTGGTTCAGAGTACCTACTTCCCTCTTAACCTATGAAAAAGAAAGAGCACTTGAAAGTCCTTTTTTTTTAAAAGTGATAAATGCTCAGCTCTAATCACTAGTAAAAATAAATTCCTGTGGTATTGTTTGTTTGTTTGTTTTTTAATTTAAAACTTAATGATTCATTACGTTATGTGCTTCTCACTGCCTATCTTTTTTAATTCTGTGTAAATATTACTGACATCTATGGCATACATGTAAAGTCATCTGCTGTAACGCTAACTTCAATCTTGTCTTCTTTTCCCATTTTTATGAGCACTCATGCATTTCTACCAGTGTCAGGATTTGAAATTTTTACATGCCATCTCTCATCAAAGGCACCTCAGCTGTTTGATTCACGCAGCAGAAACAGAAGGAAGATGGGAGCAAAAAATTAATTTTCTTCCCTGTTCACATTGAACAAATCCACAATTACGTTGAATCACACTGTTACCAGCTGCAATCGGACACCTCAAACTAGTTATAAACTTTAATAATTTTTCAAACCAGGGTGGGGAGTCGGGTGGGGGTGTCTTGATTTGGTATATGAACAAAATAACCACATAAAAGCTCCATACTGTGACTAATGTTTCCTTTTTACTCCATAAATACACTAAAAATAACATAAATATATTTTGTGTATGTTCAGTCAGGTGGATACTTGCACTCCACTCCACTTACTTTTTTTCTGGTGTGCTAGAAAAGGTAGCTCGCTAAACATCAGTTACATTTTCTGTCTTTTCTTTAAGATTGGAAATGTCATATTTAATACTACTAGGAAAATGAGAAAGCTGCAAAATCAAGTGCTTAAGTCAGAAATATTAACATTACTTCGAATACGATCTGCATGCAAAGTAATTCTATTCATCTTTCTCCCATTAAGATTTGGATCACAAAGACCGTATGAGAACAGTCCTACAAGTACCAGGAATCGATGACAATTTCCATAATTTCTCTGATGACCTTCAATTGCTCGGGTAGGACTAAAGAGGAACTTCCTCCCCCTTCCCCAAGGAGGCACGTAACCTGCTCCCAGGCTCCGTGAGCTCTGCTTGCCTCCCTGCCCATTTTCTTGGGCAAGAAAAAGGACCAAAAAGCAGAAAAGACAGAGGCAGTTGAAGGCAAGACTGATACTAACACACTACAAAAAGAATATCCTTTTCCCTATGAATTCCTTAAATGACCGCACATGAAAAAATATGTATAGCTGCCAAATTGATCAAAATACCCACACTTGGACACCCACCTGTTCCATCAGTGGAGGAGAAGTCAAGGGCTCACACTTGGCAGTACGCTTACATAGGTATCAACTATCCATTTTTTTTTCTACATAAGGACAAAACCTAAGAGTGGCTGCACTACCTCAGACTAAGGTCTGCCTAGCCCATGGTACCCTGGTGTCTGTGAACTGTCTCCATCTCCTGATCCTTCACATCTCTGGGCAGAATCCCCATTTTTGATCCTTTTACCCTCACGTCCTTCCCCTTATCTTGTTCCCCCCATCATCATGCAACTACTTTTCATTTTTCTTTGACCACACCCCTCCCTTTCACCAGGCAGGTTGTAGGGCTTTGTTAGGGATGCCCAGGAAAGAATATAAAATCAGAAAAACATCTATGATACTCCCTTAAAGTATTCCCTCAGGCTCCAGCTACCTGCTGCCCAATAACTTCCAGAGCCAGATGTGGTTTCTGGAGGTAGCCTTGATGCTGTCAAATACACAGGCTGCACAACAAGGTCACAAATTACAGCTCCAACTCTGCACCTTCAATACCTGCTCACCCCCTGACCGGTGTTTCACAGCATCATAATTGCACTATTGACATTTTCTAACACTCGTGTCTTATTTTTAATTGTCTTTTTGCATTTGTACCTATTACAACTGTGTAAGTGACAATTGGTCACTTCTTGTCTACAGTAGGTAATATTTCTCTACATTCTAAAGAGTAAAAAAACCTACATTACCATTTGCAGCAACCACTGACATTGTTGTTTTTGCCTCTTACTTAAAAGCATTACGAGGTTTCCATTCAAGAAGATGAGAACAGCTTATGAAAAATATCTTCCTGCTTCTCTCCCCATTAGTATACAAGCAGAATAAGGGCAGGCAACAAATTTTCCAATTTAATAATGGTCGTGTCTCATCCATGCATTTATTTGGGTAGAAGGGTCATGTTGCCCTAATTGTATTGACGGATGAATCAGGATTGGGCACGAAGGGGGTGAGTTAACTTAGGTCTATGACAAAATATTATTTTCTTAGGCTAGAATTATTCCATCTTTGCTAAGTAACTATTGCCTCACCCTAGTTTTGCCTCCTGTCCTGCAAAACAGGGCAGAAAATCTTAGATTGACAGGAAAGGGACTACTAGTTGAAAACCTGAAGGTATTTTCATATGAAGAGACAGGCTTGCATAATTTACTAGGCTGAAACAAAAGCAATTGGCAAGGCACAAGAAATTTAAGATCAGAAAATTAACATTATGGTTTTTAATTACTCTTGAAAGCAGACGTTCCGTAAGTCCTATGTGCTGGCATATCACAGAGAACACTGTCTCAAAATACTGCTTCTATAAATCATCATCATTCCCAATAAAATCCCGGAAAAGAAGCAGCGTGGCAAGGATTGGGGAAGGTAGGAGGGAGATGTATGATGACACCTGAGGAACGCAGATGAGCAAGCACTTGGAAAAAGACAGGGCGTTTGCCTTTCTTTCTGAAAGAAATTGCAAAATATCCTGTAGAACTAGACGGTTGATTTCCCTTCCTAAAAATGTGTGTAGTAGGAGTACCACACACAGCTAAAGCAACGGTCTCCCAAAAAGCTGTTTCTATCTGCGCTGGTAACAGTTTAACATCATTGCCATTATCATTTAACACCACACTTGTTCATTTTAAGCTTCAGAAAAGAATACTACTCTGCCACTTCAGAAACAAAACCGTACACAAAGCTGGTAGGATAATTATAGCGGTAAACAGCAGCTACTCATTTAAAATGCTATTAGGACATGACGACATGCAAGTTCAACATATTAAGGTTTCAAAACCAAGTAGTTAGAAGATGACTGTTACAAATCGAGCCATTCTGAGGGTCTGTACCCTTCTCCTGATAACGCTAAAAACGACTACCTTGTTTACTAGTGTTGTGTCTTTGGGAAACATAACCTTGGTTTATAGAGAGTTCATGAAACCCACCGTCTTTCTGGACATTAAAGGGATATTCCACTACTTCCACCCCAAGCATTGTTTCTGTTACCTGAAAAACTAGATCTCTACATTTTTCCAGAACACACCTTTTTTTGCCTTTGACACCACCCCAACCCAAACTTTCAACATCAGCTTT